TTGTTGATTATTTTAACCGGATGCTACAAACGACTTATGAGTGTTTTTTGTCTAATTTTACTAGTGATTTCAAATGTGATCAAAACGAAAATTTGACCTTAAGTTTGAAGTATTTTGGTGTAAGAGCCTGTGCCAGTTGGCTAAAACGCCTTAAGATTTTGAATGAAGTATGGATCCTAAGGGCAGATTTTCCCTCACCAAAGGCCATTAATTACGGTTGTTGAATTAAATCCCTTTAGATGTTTCTCTTAGCGAAGGGAAAACGCTGACAGTTTTACTACAGTGACTGAGGTTTTGCCACTGTGTTCACAACAGCGATCTCTCATTATCAGAACTTACCATTAGCAGCTAAACTAGCGCAGCTAAGTACTGAAACTAACAGACTCTCCTCAAACCTGTTAGTCCTGCCAAGAAGAAAAATTAACTGCTTGGTCTAACCATTGGCAAAGAGCGACTTCCACACGTGGGCATCCAACACACAGAGGACATAAACATGCAGAATAGCTCACACTTCAGGCAAAAACTCCACTGACAAATGTGTCACGAACATTTGAATACACTTGACACAAATAAATATATTGATGCATACATGTCTTTTTTAACGTTTTGACTCTGCATATGCCTGCCTGTTGTCGTGTTATATCACTCTGGTTGGCCGCTTTGCAAGTCAGTCAATTGCTTTCCTCAGGCGGACTTTAGCCATAGGTTCAATTATGCTATTTTTCAGGCTCTGTAGTGGTGGAGTGGATCAGAGTAAAGCTCACAGCTTAAAATATAATCTCTGTTTTAACAAAGATATATGTTGGATAATTGCATGGCTGCAAACAACCTTTCATTTTTTCTCAAAACAAAAAAAAAAAAAATCCTTGACTTCATGGCTGCCACCTTGCAGGCTAGGTAGGCTAACACAGCTCACGGCACCCATTAGCATGCATTGTTAATATAAAAACAAATATGTCTAGATTATATATTTCATGTACATTTAACTTGTTTTGAATATATTATTTCCTTCAGCAGATAGGCCTGCACTGACTAAAACACATTAAGTTTTGAGAGAACGAGTCATGGAAATGTGACAAAAACTGATATTTAATGACTAATGTTGGAGCGGTCCAGCTTGTCTTCCAGTGCACTGTAGTTTATACATTAGCGACAGTCAAATCTGTATTCTCTCAGTATTTTTTGCCATAGGAGTCTGTCTATCATAAAGAAAGTGCACGGGTGAATTCTCCCCCTAAAACACCTCCAAAACAGTCATTGCTTCAGCTTCTCACGCTGGCTAAGACCTTTAAGGGAGCATTTTCTTTCACTTAAGTTATCCTAAGAGAAATGACAGTTAAGGAACTTAGGAACAATAGTTGAGGGATTATTTAAAGGAAAACCGATTGTTAAGGGAAAATGTAGAAGTGAATGACATTTTACTTAGGGAACCTCTTCGGTAACACCTTAAGTGTTTTTGTGCAACACAGTTAACCTTAGAAAATACTTAAAGGTAATCTTACAGGAAAATTCAGTGTAAGGTGTTTTATGCAACTGGGCACAGGTGAGGTCAATTGTATCACTTCCTGATCGGCTTCTTATGTGGTGGATAGCAGGAATGAGTGAGAACTGCAGTGAGCGTGCATTTCAAATAGCCACACTGTTTGCAGGAGCTGCCCAGCAACAATTTGGGAACATGGTGAAGGAACAAACCATCACAACCATTCGGCACAGTATAATATCACCAAATAATGAATTTTAGATAAAACTTAGATACTTTTAGAAAGCACTGCACATGACGTACATTTACTGTGACTTTTTACAAAATAAAAAACTTACGTCAGTACGTATTGAGTAGTGAGTTGGTAGTACTGTTGAAATCTGGACAAAAAAACTATTTTTAACGTGCTAAGAAGACTGAAAATAGGCTTAGAGTGAAGCACATATTCCAGAACCAAACGGTGGGTTTAGTACAGTTTACCTTCTGTAGTAAGCAGAAACTATGGTATATATGCTACACTGTCTATTTTAGGGTGCAGAGAGCTATTTGAGATACAGCCAGAGAATTTGTAGAGGACAATTGCCACTCTGTTATGTCTTCCAACACTAGAGGGCACTCCTGAGCGAGTCCAAAATGAATGGGTAAATATGCAGCATTTCAACAAAATCTTAGTTTGTAAATGCTTAAACATTTCTATGCAGAAGAATGCATTCATTTCCCAAACACAGAACACGCTTTTGAACTCGTGTTATAGGACTTTATAATGGTGCCTCATTTATGTTCATAAAGTCAGTGAGTGCAAACCTCTTTACTCAGCCAATCAGCTGATTAGCTGACCAACCAATCAGCACTCATTAGCAGTAATGCCAACTAATCAGCACTCGGTAGGTAGCACTCAGTAGCAGTAATGTCAACCAATCACCACTTAGTAACGGTAATGCCAACCAATCAGCACTTAGTAACAGTAATGCTGACGAATCAGCATTCATTGACAGTTTATGCTAACCAATTAGCACTCAGTGGCAGTGATGCTAATCAATCACCACTCAGTAGCAGTGGTGCTAACTAATCAGCACTCAGTAGCAGTAATCCCAACAGCTCAGCACTTAGTAGCAGTAATGCTAATTAATCAGCACTCAGTAACAGTAATGCTAACCAATCAGCACTCGGTAACAGTAATGCTAACCAATCAGCACTAGTAGCAGTAATGCTAACCAATCAGCACTCAGTAACAGTAATGACAACCAATCAAAAGTCAGTAGCAGTAATGTTAATCAATCAGCACTCAGTAACAGTAATGCTAACCAATCAAAAGTCAGTAGCAGTAATGCTAGCGTTCTCCTGTTTGCTGTAGAGAATAGGAGCTATACAGGTAAGGGTTTTTTGTTTTTTGTTTGCTTTTTACTGAAACACATCCTTCTACTTTCTAGTCCCGGACAAATCGTTAGAAACTACTTTAACTTTTAACTTTTACCCATTTATCTCCATTCACCCCAACTCACTGAGGTCTCTCTCTCTCTCTCTCTCAGGGGGATACGTCAAGGCTGTGGTCTCTCTGGACTGCTGTATGCCATTTCTATTGAGCCACTGCTAGTGGCTCTCCGTAAGCGGCTCCGTGGGGTCTCAGCCCAAAAGCCCAGTACAGAGAAGGGTGTAACAGTGAAACTGACAGCGTACGCTGATGATGTAACAGTTGTTGTTAGAGATGAGAGTGATGTAAAGAGGGTAAGTGAGTGCCTTGAAAAATTCCAGGAAGCCACATCAGCGCGGATAAACTGGAGCAAAAGTACAGCATTGTTATTAGGACAGTGGCTTCAGGAGAGCCCACCTCGGCTCCCCCAGCAGTGCTCCTGGAACCTGGAGGGCTTTAAAGTGCTGGGTGTCTTCTTTGGGACAGATGCATATATGCAGAAGAACTGGGAAGGGCTGAGAGAACAGATTCTGAGGAGACTCCAGAGGTGGAAATGGGCTCTGCCTCAGTTATCATACCGGGGAAGGGTGCTGGTGATTAATAATCTTGCAGCTTCAATGGTGTGGCACAGGCTAACTGTTTTGGACCCCCCAGTGGATTTACTGAATCATGTTCAGAAGGCCTTTGTAGACTTCTTCTGGGATGGGTATCACTGGCTTCCACCTGCAGTACTGTATCTGCCCCTGGCGGAAGAAGGTCAAGGGCTGATACAGGTTTTGGCCAGAGTGACGGCCATGCGACTACAGTGGGTTTGTGGGTTTTATGGTTCAGTTTTAAAGGCATGGGGGCTGTTTAAAGTGACGAGGGACAATGATTCACATTATGGTCTGGACGAGCCTTTATTTTCTAACCCCTTTCTGCTTCAGCAAGTTCACCAGTTCAGCACAATCGCTACCGCCTTTACGAAGGCAGGAGTAACACGAATTCGACATCTGATTGATTTGGGGGAGAAAGAGTGGCGATCAGCTGTGGTTTTAATGGAGCTCATTGGTTTTAAATCAGACAGAGTGATTGGGGGTCTAATCAATACTCTTAAAGCTTCCTTGCCTCCACCTCTGAAGGCTTTTGTGGCTGGTGCTCTGGCTGGTGGATTGGCCGAATGCTATTTCCAGAGTTGATTGTTAGCCCCTCTGTTTCCGAGCCTGAGATTACTGAGGGGCAACTTCTCTCTCTGAATGGGTTACAGAAGTTGCCTTTCTCAACAGCTGGAAAGAAGGCTTTGTACCAGAGCTGTGTTAAATACTTGCACTTTCATGAGCTGAAGGGGAGATGTGACTCCAAATGGAGAGCCCATCTCTCTGTCCCTGAGGGTCTGCGGCCTTCATGGAAGCTCTTGTACAAAAGCCCCTTGCCCAAACGGTCAGGAGACCTCCAGTGGAGGATCCTTCACTGTGCTGTACCCACAAATGGGTTCGTGTCAAAATTTAACCCAGCTGTTCAACCACTTTGCATTTTCTGCAATAACCCTGATACTGTTTTTCATGCTTTTTCCGACTGTCAAAGACTGATTCCTCTATTCAAACTCCTGGACAGGGCGCTCAGAGGGCTGGGGTTTCTGTTCACCCGGACTCTGTTTATCTTTGGCTGTAAATACTCTAAAGCTCAGCGAAGTTATCAGTGTGGAAGTCCTTCAGGTTGGTGTCTGAAGGGCAGGAGGTGGATGTTCTGAAACTGTTCCGAGCTCTAGTAGAGTCACGCATTAGAGTTGAGTTTGTTTTTTACCAAAGTACTCAGAACATTTCCTGTTTTGAGAGAAAGTGGTGTGCTGGTGAAAGTATCGTATCTGTCAGTGATCTGGGTGTGATATCATTTCATTGGTGAATCTTTGTGGATGGGTGGATTCTCTTTGGGGATCCTCATTATTATTAATATAACTATTAGCCCTTTACCATAGGATGTAAAATTCTTTAATTATTAATGCTTCAATAAAAAGGGGGTTAAAAGTCAAAGTCTCTCTCTCTCTCTCTCTCTCTCTCTCTCTCTCTCTCTCTCTCTCTCTCTCTCTCTCTCTCTGGCGCCCTCTGGCGTTTCGCAGTTGATAAAACGGGAGAAACAGGAAATGCAGGCTCCCCTTAAACCGGCTCTGTAAGTGAAGTGTAAGAGTGGTCTCTGCAGTCAAACTGTTGTTAACAGGCTGTTAATGTTTTCTCAGACACTCTAGCCAATCTTTTCCAGAATATGGTGACCAGGATGTGTGGATTTAGTTGTATAGACTAGTAACAAAACAAAATCTGGAAGTAAACAGTTGAAGGTAAGCTTTGTATTAGCACGACGCTGCTAAACACTGTTTTGGGCATTTGAATAACATTTTTGTACATCATTATAATTTTATGCAACATAAAAACCAAACATAAACTGTACATAGATGAGATCAACCGGGAAAAAAATCGCATTTCTGTGGTACAAAGAGAGAATAGGTCTGCGCATTTTTACTCATTAAGGAACATCTCCAGATTTCAAAAGTACGTTAAACAACGTTTTCTTTTCCATCACTAAATGCGTTGAATCAGTGTTGACACACAATATCAACATAAACTCAAGCTTATGGCTGATATGGCTGATTTATGGTTGTTTTGTGGTCGAGCAGATGTTGAATCAGTCTCAGGTGGATCACACTGAAACAATATTTATTCAATCTTATGTTGTTATCATGGCATCTAATCCTACTCTCCAGTTACCGTGACTCAAAACAGTATATTTTAATATAGATTTTTAAACATAAAGTGTTTTAAATTTATAAACATGCTTTAAAAGTTATAAACTGTAACTCAAACACCAACAACTTTCAAAAGTGACAGAGGATGCAGTATAACGTAAAATAAGGAGTGATGCAAATGACAGTCATGAAGCTGTCAGTTTCCTGCAAGCACTTCTGATAACACAATGCATAACAACATTATTATATCACACAAATACAAAAATGTGCACGTGAGAACAAGGCATTCTGGGGATATTCCAGCTAGACCTTTCGACTTTTAGAAAAACAACAGGGATACGGAGAAATGTTCTAAATAAAAACAAGAAAAGTGTAGTGTAAATGTGTGCGCACCAAACTGGGCTTGCTTGGGGTCATAATGTTTGACATCATCTGTGAACTCTGCAGAAATCCCTGTCACAACAACCGAAACAGATGTCCTGATTAGATAGTTACATAATTTGGATTCCTGCTGTTTAATATTTAACAACGTACACCAGGATAGATTATGGATTAGAAATTTATTCAGATGCACCCTAAAAGCTTGTCAGTCATGAAAACTGTCTGTCTTAAATAATCAGTTGCTTTTGTTTACATTAGTTTTGCATTTATTTTTTCAGTTTTACTGCTACAGACTAATCCCAAAAACAACACATTAAATATCAATACCCAGCATACATGTTAACACACACAAACATGCACACACATACACACTGTAGCTTATACAAATACATCCATGGTCCATAAGTAAATGAACTCATTTTATGGAAAAATTTTACATGAGCGGGACTGCCTTGGTGGTTGACCAATCAGAGCACACTGGGCTCATTGGAAGGAGAACTGAGAGAGAACTAGAAGATGAATTTGCTGTTAAAAAGCTTGCTAAAAATGGTTTGAAATTGGGGTTCACGTTGCTGTGTGCGGTTGTAGTTTTTGTTGTTGTTTGAGAGAGACTGAGATAGAGCCACTGTACTGCTGCCTTTACCTACCTCTTCCCATTCTACGTATTTTACAGTACGTTTATCTTGAGTGCATGAAACTGAAAAATCAGTACCAACATGCTTTGGAATTGAAGCTTGTCTCAGTGAAATTATTCACTGACGTGCCAAAAGTCATGGGATAGAAATACGTAAGTTGATTATAAGTGGTGTTACCTCGGGGGATCCACCTGTGTACTGGGAATACGTTATAGAAGGCATTACCACCCAGAGTAGACAGCGTAGTGGGTGTTTAATGATTGTGACCAGCGGCGTCTGGCTAAAATTGTCTGTGTAAATAGACAAGTGACTCTGGCAGAAATAGCATCCAGATTCAATGCATGAGCCCCACACACATATCCGGCAGGTCAGTGCAGCGTTCTTTTGCTTCCATGGAATATGGGAGCAGAACACCCACCAGAGTTCCTCTTTTAACACCACGTCACCAGACACAGCACCAGGCTCAGGCTCATGAGGTTGCTAACCGGACCCTATAGAACTGGTAACATGTGGCGTGGTCCAATGAGTCATAGTACCAATTGTTTCAGGCTGATGATAGGGTTTGTGTGTGGCGCAGACCTCATAAAGCCATGGACCTCAGTTGGCAACAAGGCACTGTGCAGGCTGATGGCGGTTCCAAACTGGTGTGGGGTGTGTTCTCAAGGCATGGGCTTGGGTCCACTGGTCTGCCTAAACACATCATTGTCCAGTGATCGTTACGTTTCCCTGTTTGGAGACCATTTGCAGCCCTTCATAGACTTCATGTACCCTGACAATGATGGGATATTCCAGCAGGATAATACACCGTGCCATCGGGCTCAAGTTGTCCGGAATTGGTTTGAGGAGCATTCTGGAGAGTTCCAATGAATGGTGTGGTCTGCACGTTAACCTGACATGAGCCCAATCAAGCATTTATGGAATGTGGTGGAGAGATCCATTTGCACCGAGATCCTGTACTCACAAATACCACAGAGCTGTGGGTGGCTATGCGGACAGCATCTCTCCAGATGTCTTCCATCCACTTGTGGGATCAAGGCCACATTGAGTTGCTGCACATTGCCAGGCTAGAGGGGGTCCTACATGATACTGGTTCCTGTCCCATGACTTTTGGCACATCAGTGTAATACTACATGTTTACATATCGACACTATAGCTGAACTCCAGAGTGACTCTGCTATAATGACACAAAACACCTTGTTAATAATAATGCCTAGTACTTACTATAATATGACAAAACTGTATTAGATACATAATGTGTTTAATATTTGAAAAATACATTGATCTGTATTCTGTCTGATTCCTTAATGCCAGTTTTACTATTTAACAAATTACGATGTCAGAAAAATGAAAGCCTGAAATGAGTTTAAATATGCGTATTTGATGAGTTTGGGTAATTAGGGGATTGACTTTTCTAAACCAGATGGACGTTTATTCTTTCTTTACTCTTTGTACCAGCTGATGTATGTGGAGCGTTCATGATTTAGATCAGACTATTTTTGTTGCATTTCACATAAAGTTAAGGTCAGGGGTGCACAACTCCAGTCCTGGAGGGCACCAGCACAGGTTGGAGGTTTTCCTACTCAAACACACCCACTAAACCTGTCAATTAACAGACAAGTTTAATCAGATGTGTTTGATTGGGTAACTCTCCAAACTGTGCTGGACACTGGCCCTCCAGGACCGGAGTTGTGCACCCCTGATTTAGATTGTCATTTTTATTTTCTTTTTTCAGAAATGAATGCTGTCCTGACTTGAAGACTTCTCCTGCTCCAAATGTCCAATGTACTACACAGCTCAAATTTACGTCCCCAAACACAGCAGGACATCCTGTCGAGTGTACTGTTAAGCCATTGAAAGAGGACAAATATAAGAATATGGCATCCGGAAAAAGTTCCAGTACCCAGCAAACATCATCTGGTACCCTTCACGCTAGGATATCTCGCAGACGAACTCACAAAAGAAGGGAGAAGAGAACTCATTGCTGCTCAGAGTGTGGAAAGAGTTTTACTCAACAGAGTCGTCTCACAATACACCAGCGCATCCACACAGGAGAGAAGCCGTATCGCTGCTCAGAATGTGAAAGGAGTTTTAATCATCATAGTCATCTTCGACGACACCAGCTCTTTCACACAGGAGAGAAGCCGTATCTGTGCTCAGAGTGTGGGAAGAGTTTTAATCGACAGAGTTCTCTCCAACGACACCACCTCATTCACACAGGAGTTAAACCATATTACTGCTCAGAGTGCGGGAAAAGTTTTACTCAACAGAGTAATCTCAAAACACACCAGTTCATTCACACAGGAGAGAAGCCGTATTACTGCTCAGAGTGTGGGACGAGTTTTGCTCTACAGAGTACTCTCCAGCAACACCAGCGCATTCACACAGGAGAGAAGCCGTATCACTGCTCAGAGTGCGGGAAGAGTTTTAACGTGCAGAGTCATCTCCAACGACACCAGCACGTTCACACAGGCATTAAACCATATTACTGCTCAGAGTGTGGAAGAAGTTTTACCCAACAGAGTTCTTTCCAAAAACATCAGCGTATTCACACAAGTTAACTGTGTAACTGCTGAGATTGTGGGAAGGTTTATAGGCATTCAAATCCTGTGAAGACACACAAGCACAAAAATAGTGCTTGGTGGAAATAAACAATAATGAATGTAACCTTAACACCATGGCAGGAGTCTGGAGGGAACACTGCATCCAGCATTTAAAAAATCTAGATAATTGTATTTAGAGAGAAAATCCACCTCTTTTTGTTGTACACTGTTTTTGAAGAATGAGCATAAAATAAAATATCATTTCCTTCGCTGAACAACAGGTCAAGCCTTTAGCTTATACAGTCTATATAATCTTCTTCCCACTGATTTTAGTGTCTATCTAGACTACGAATCAGTGATTCTTACACATTCTTATTTTACATTTTTCTTATTCTTATTTTTACACTGCTGCAGCAATAGGTGTAGCACCCCCTTGAACCCCTTATTGTTGATCATCTTAACTGGTTGAGAGATTGTTCAGGGAGGTGCTAAGGGTGCTAAATTAGTTATGACTTCATTGTTATATAGATTTAAGAGATAAGTACAAGATAAAAGTTATGCTCAAATGTTATTGACATAAGAAGTGTCATCCAATGGTCTGAAGAACTGACATAAAAGGGGTTCATTTTGAGAATGGGGTAAAAGCTTTGTTTTTGATATAGCTCATATAGAAAAGAAAGCCTTGCTTTATCTGAAGTGCTATTTGGGCTAGCTGAGAGAGAAAACACTGCGTTCTTCTGAAAATGAAAATCTGACACGATTTGAAGACTCTATTAATCCTTTTTAGAGCATTTAACCAATTATTTTCTTGAGTAATTTATTATTTTTCTCCAGCATAAGAAAATGTGTCTAAAATTTGTCTGATTAAACCGATGCGGCGAGAAAGATTTATTTGGACTGTTTATTGTTGGCTTATATACTTACATAGGTTGCATATATATATATATATAAAACAAATAAATGAAACACTATATACTTTTTGGACTATTTGTTTAAATTGGTTCTCTTTGTCTAATTTTATGAGGTAAATTAAAATCTGATTATGTTTTAGATCACATTTATGCAGAAGTTCACATAATGATAAAGAATTCACAAACTTTCAAGCAGCAACGTACTAGGCAAAAAAGTGACTCTGATTCTGAAGTAGACAACATTATGGAACAAAAAAGAAAGTCTGCACATATTAGGTTGAACCAATTCAGAAATGTATGTAAACAAGTATTCAAAATTTCAGTGATGTGATATACCCCCCCAACCCCTCAAATTAAGAGGATACCACAAAGTGAATTTCAAAGAAAATTATTTAATAAATTTAACAGGAATTTATTTTTACAGGTTTACAGAAACAAAGAAATGGTACTAAAATAATAAAAGCAGAGAAAAATAGATCAAAATAGGTAATCAAAATAATCAACAAGTTAACACATTCAAAAAAACACATAACCTTACACTTAACTAAACCAAAGCTTAAAGAAAGAAATCAGCAGGCTAAAACAGAGTTTGTGGGGGAGAACTCTGAGAACTTGGGCTGGAGTCCTGGGCAGCTTCTGCCTATAGCTAGAAGGTCAGATCTCCCCTCATCGCTGTAATAGGACTGATGCAGGACTGCGGAACAGGGAGGAGATGAGGTGGCCGTAGGGATTTGCGAACACTTCGTCACAGGAACAGAAGGTGAGGATATGAATTATAGGGCATTAGATGGTAGAATGAGAATTTTTTTCTATATACTGAATTTAGCAAATAAATGGTCATTTTACATTGAAACTTGTAGAAATTTATCATATAAGTTTATTCAATGCAGACAATGTATTAACCTCTCATTTAGAAAAATCAGCATAACGTTAATGTAGCATAATTTCAATAAAGCATGTTCTTGAAACCTGTGAAGCATGTTTTGAAACTGCAAATATATTTTTGGTAAACTGCATGAAGATAGTAAATTAAAAATTGTACTGAGTGGTTCACTGCATTAAAAAAATGAACTTTTTGTTGCAGTATGTCCAGTCTTATCTGAGTCATTCTGTGAAACGGATGCCATTTCCTCTTCACATTTTTTAAACATTTCATCAAAAGCAATTTTTTCCCCAAAACAACATTTTTTCCCACCTCAGGCATAAAATCCTTATTAATATCATCCTTTTCATTCTGTCCTGAGAGCTATTCTTGTACCACCCCATCACAGACAACCATTTGAGTGCACCATTTGAGTAGTATTACATTAAATAATTTCTGTTTTGGCAACCATCATTAGAAAGTATGTAATGGACAAACTCTCGCTTTATATGATCTGTTGGTTTTCTAACAAAAAAAAACTTTCATCTCACACTAGAAATTTCTGTTAATTCTGGATATAAAAGTAGGCATGACTTAATGATACAAGATCCAAAATATACATAAAAATGAGGCTTAATTTAATTGATACAACAGCATGCTAGAAAAAAAATGCAAACTGACCATTCAAAATGTGAATGAAAACATAATTCAAATATGCAACATTTAAAAATTTGATTAAAAGAACATTTTATTCTTATTAAGGTCTTAACTGAATTCTGAAAAATGAACAATGGTTCAAATGAATATATGCTTTTATATATAGGCAGTGAGTAAGTGAGTGTAAGTGAAAGAGTGAATAATAGAGTGAGTGAATGAGTGAAAGAGATATTGAGTAAAAGAGAGAATAAGTAAGTGACAAAGTGAGTGAGTGAAAGAGATCATGAGTGAGTATAGAGATTGTGAGTAAGTAAGTTTAGAGATAGTAAGTGAGTGAAAGAGTGAATGAAAGAGACAGTGAGTGAGTAAAAGAGATAGTGACTAAGTAAATGAGTAAGTGAGTGAAAAAGATTTCCTTCCTTAAAGCAGACATTTTAAGCTATACATCGGTATAGGCACAATAAAACATGACGGGGTGGTTCGTGACAGGGTGTTAAATTTCATTCTAAAATTGCTGCATTTTTCCCCATCTATTTTGCGTGACTTGGTGGTTGGGTTGAGCTTGATGGACCCATCTAACACAATAAAGCAACAAATAAACAATGGAAAAGAATGTCAAAACTTGCCTGCTTTTATCCCTGGCTCTTCTAAAGGCTAAAATTCAATGTCACTTATGGTTTGTGATGTCATTTAAAGCAACAAAACATTTTTATAGATTTTTATTTTTAAGTTAATGTGACAGGGTGGTAAGTCAAAATTAGGGAAGCACAAATTAGAACAATTTTTACAAAAGTAATGTTTTATTTTGATTATACACTATGTAAACAGAGACACACATATAGCAAAGAGCATAGTAAGCCTAGTATTTTTTCATATATACTGTTAACAAGAGCACTTGAATTAACAGCTTTAAGCTTTGGGAGCACACTTTGGTACATTTTTGTGTCTTATGCATCTCATCAAACGTTGCAGACCCAAATGGTACCTGTTATAAATACATTAACTTTAAATTGTTCAACAATACAGTGTATTTATGCTTATAAAGAATTTCTCTCAAAAGCGTTCTTCAGAATATCTTAACGCGTTAACACGCTGAATATTTGCGTGTTAAAATGGGGATATCCATGTGTTTTAATCCCAAATGCCTGCCATATGAGCGAGGCACAGCTCTGGTATGAATGAAGCTGTTTTTGTGTTGTCTAATCTATTTTAAACTCATCAAATTGAACTAACCAAATCAAACGTGTCTCCAGCTGTTGGACTGCATGAAGTGCATGAGTGCATGAAGAACAATGAGTGTTAAAGTGTCGGACGCTTTAGTGCAGTTGAAGAAAGTTAGTTACAGACTTAGCGCCACTACCTGTCCACTGTGTCTTTCAGTTAGCAGAAATTTTCTCATTTAGCTCATGATTTCATACGAAGCTTTTACTTGACGTCACTGGTGTTACCTACTTTATGCTTATGTAATTGTGAAAAAATTGAATACAAATGGGTTAAATTACATATTTTAGTGGATATTCCATGATTGACAACATGTCAAGTCAAGTCAAGTCAAGTCAAGTCAGCTTTATTGTCAATACTACAATATGTACAGGACATACAGAGTATTGATGTCACGCATTCAGCAAACTTTGACAAGGAGACGGACTCCATTTCCCAGAATCCTCAGGGAAGTCACGTGTCGTATGCCCAGTTTATTAAAGAATTCAAGCTGGTTTTTGACCACCCTTATGAGGGCAAGATTAGTGGGGAATTATTATCACAACTACGCCAGGGAAATCGTTCTGTTGTGGACTATTCGTTAGAGTTTCGCACTCTTGCTGCAAGCAGTGGCTGGAATGAGGCTGCTCTCCTCGTGATGTTTCGGCAAGGACTGAATGCTGGGATACTAAACGAACTGGCTAGCAAGGATGATGATTTGAATTTGGATGAACTGATAACTCTCGCGATTAAGTTAGATCATTTGATAAACTCCCGAACCAGAAACAGGGTAGGGAAGGCCCCACGAAGGACACTTCCTCAGGTGAGAGTCACCCCGGACAGTGCTGACCACATGGAACCCATGCAGTGTGACTCCTCCCGGTTGTCCCAGGAGGAGAGACGGCGGCGACTGGACAACCATCTATGTCTATATTGTGGTAAAGCGGGGCATCTAATTCGCAACTGCCGTGTGAGACCACAAGTAAGCAAGGCGCCGACCCCTGGACAGCACGTGGAGTACACTCCACGTGCTAATGTGGTGAGTGTGCCCACAAAGGGGTTGGTTTCTAAATCCGTAATGTTGCCAGTGAATATATACTGTCATCCCCATTCTCTATGTGTTTCAGCGTTGATCGACTCCGGGGCTGAGGGGAATTTCATTCATGTCAGACTGGTGGAGCAGCTACGGATTCCAGTGCAGAAGCTCCACTCAAATCTTAAAGTGGCCGCCCTCGATGGAGGACCCGTAGGATTGGGGACCATTTTCAATGTCACCACACCCTTAACTGTTCAGACCAGTGCACTTCACCAGGAGGAATTGTCATTTCTAGTCCTAGAACATTCTGAATTTGAGGTGATCCTCGGGCTCCCCTGGTTAGAGAAACATAATCCTAACATTTCTTGGGCTGAGCACACTATTGCCAAGTGGTCTGATTTTTGCTTCCAAAATTGCCTCACTGTCCCCACCATCTCAGTCTTATCCACCTCCATAGAAAGCCCTCACTCGGACTCACCATTTGAGATGCCCCCAGAATATGTAGACCTCAAAGAAGTTTTTAACAAGAAGAATGCCACCAAACTGCCTCCACATAGACCTTATGATTGTGCTATAGACCTCATTGAGAACCCTGTCCTTCCCAAAACTACCCCCTAACCCAAGAGGAGCAGAAAGCACTAGATGTCTATATTGAAGAGGCCCTAGAACAAGGTTTTATCAGACCATCCACGTCCCCCATAGCATCCAGTTTCTTCTTTGTTAAGAAGAAAGATGGAGGTCTCCGCCCGTGTATAGATTACCGAGCCCTGAATCAGATCTCTAAAGCATATCCCTATCCCTTGCCCTTAGTGCCAGTAGCATTAGAACAACTTCAAGGGGCTAGGTTTTTTACTAAATTGGACCTCCGTAGTGCTTACAATCTAATTAGAGTGAAAGAAGGGGATGAATGGAAGACCACTTTTTTGACCACTAGGGGGCACTATGAGTACCTGGTGATGCCTTTCGGGCTCTCTATCGCCCCCTCTGTATTCCAAGCCTTCATCAATGACGTGCTTAGGGACATGTTAGGACAATTTGTCATAGCATACCTAGATGATATTTTAGTATACTCACCTTCTCTAGAGTCCCATGTACGCCATGTCCGGACAGTACTGCAACGACTACTCGACAACAATCTATTTCTCAAAGGAGAGAAATGCGAATTTCACCTGCAGTCAGTTTCCTTCCTCGGTTACATCATCAGCTCCCAGGGAGTTA